AGTTTAGGGTAAAGTTGGAAAGTAAAATTAGAGTGTTTTGACCAAATCGATTGCACCATTCTCATTTTTCAGTATGATATATAAGTTTCTATGATTTTCTACATTTTTTTGTAAATTTTGAATGTATTTCTTTGTTTTTTGTAATTTATATTGTTTTCTTCATTTTATGTTTTTCATAATTATTTTGTAGTGACAATATATATAATGGAAAAAATAGAAAGTTGAGGGTAAAGTTGTAAAGTAAAATCAGGGTGTTTTGACCAAACCAATTGCAACATTCTCATTTTTTAGTATATAAGATATATACATGGTAAAGAAATTTTTATGATTTTCTCTATTTTTTGTAAATTTTTTTGTGTATTTCACATTCTCATTTTTTAGCATGGTATAGAAATTTTTATGATTTTCTATTTTTTTGTAAATGCTTTTGTGCATTTCTTTGTTTCTTTTTTGTATATATTGTTTTCTTTATTTTGAGGAGAAAGGTGCATAGGATAAAGAGACACCATTTCTATTTCCTCCTTCCTATTGTGAAGTAAGGGGAATGGATAAGATATACACTATAAAGAGATGTGTTTAAAGGAGAGAACTAGGGTTTTAGAATTTATTTCTTCGCTTCATGTGTGAATGATAATATTTGGCCTTTCGCCTCATGTCATTATGCTCGTCAATAGTGGGGCTGTTATTTGCATTTCTAACGGCTACCGTTTGGATATAGGTTGATCTTGATTTGTTTAAATTCGGATTTGAATTGAACATCTGTCCGATTTTTGTAGAAGAGTCTGGATCTCTTTCCAACAAAACGCATTCCAAACCCCTACGACCCTACCAAGTACAAAACCCCTACAGTATTACGTTGGTAGGGTGTTAGATTATTGGACTGGCCTRATGATCATCGAGAAAAAAACACCCTAAAACGAATCAATATAATGAATCTGAAAGCATTTCATGATCCAATACAACTCATTATTTTAACGGAGACAATCAAAATAGAGGGGAAATGGGAAAAAATACCTGAAAAAAAATAGGGAGAAAACCAAAAAGGCTTCATTTAATCATCTAAATTGATTGTTCGATGATGAAAATATAGAGGTCGAAAAAATCCATTCCTCCCTTCAATTTGAATTCGTGGGTTTTGGGCAAACCATCTGATACTTGACACATGTTGGCTCTAATCAATGAAGAGGTTCGTCAGGTAGGCCTGACGGGAGAAGGCCTGTCAATGATACTCGAAAATCCGAGGCCCAATTTGACATCCAATCTGATTATCTTGGATTCAAATCACGTATTTATGTAATTGGATTAGATTCGGATGTTACAATCTACATCCAATTAATAATCAAATCGGATTTGGATTTGACCCAATATGATTTGATTAAAATTTGAATATGATTATATTATAATATTTATTAAATTTAATATATAAATTCTATATAATTAGATTAAAATTTATAAAAATATATTTTTAATATTATATTATATATAATAAATTTAGTATGTGATATTTATATTAATTTACTATATATAAAAGTTGAAAAATAAATATTTTTTAATTTTACTAGTATTTTAGAGAATTTAAAGTGGAGTCGGATTAAATCCAAATCCGATATTAGTTTGTTAGGAGTAAAATTTGAATACGAGTCTTTAAATCCAATCGAATTTTGAATCACATTTAAATGTTGTTTCTTAATATTCGGACTGGATGTGGATTTTGCTACATCCAATCAGAATCCGATCCAATTGCAGCCCTATTGGGGGAAGATCAAATAAGGCCTAAGGGGAGAGAGAGGAGTAGGTTCCATAGTGGTTTTGTTATTATTTGATTAGTTAAAAGTGTGAACCGTTAACTAAATAAAATTGGAAAAATAAAAAATTATTATTATTTTATTTGTTTTATCCAATTACAAGTGTTATCCGTTAATTAAATAAAATTAGAAAACTAAAAAGGGTAAAAATGGAAAGCGAAAATCAGGCTTTTTCATGAAACATTGTCACCATCCTCATTTTTATAAATGGTACAGACAACATTCTCATTTTTTAGTATGGTATAGAAATTTTTATGATTTTCTATATTTTTGTAATTTTTTTGCGTATTTCTTTGTTTTTTTTTGTAATTTATATTGTTTTCTTCATTTTGAGGAAAAAGGTGTGTAGGATAAGAGAGATGCCATTTCTACTTCCTCCTTCCTACTGTAAAGTAGGGGGAGTGGATAAGATATACATTATGTAGAGAAGGGTTTAAATGAGGCAATTGGGGTTTTAGGATTTATGTTTTCGCTTCATGTGTGAATGATGACATTTGGCCTTTTGTCTCCTGCCGTTCTGCTCATCAATGGTGGGGCCATTATTTGCATATCTAATGCTTATCATTAGGATATAGGTTAATCCTGATTCATTTATATTCAGATTCGAATCGAACATCCATTCGATTTATATAGAAGGATCCAGATCTCCTGCCAACAAAATGCATTCCAAACCCCTATGGCCCTACCAAGTACAACCCCTATGATATTACATTGGTAGGGTGTTAGATTACCGGATTGGTTCGTTGATCATCGAGAAAAAACACCTAAAATGAATTGATATAGTAAATGTTTGGCATCGATGTTGTAGTTGTAGCACTGATGTGTGGCTTAGAGCACCGTTTTTTTAGAAAACAAAGCCTTTTTTTCGTTTAGAATCGTTGCTGCCATGTAGGATGTTTCCTCGAGCAACAACAACTTTTTTTGTTTGGTACCAGTGCTCAAGGAAACGTTTTATGCACTTCTACCCATTATCCACTACCACATCACTGCCCTGTTGGCAGCAACAAGCTGCAGCTCTAGGAAATGCCAAATTTGGCATTGCTCCAAGCCATGCCTTCTCGATTGGCACGATGATCATCGAGAAAAAACACCTAAAATGAATCAATATAATGAACCTAAGAGCATTTCTTGATCCAATACAACTTATTACGTTAANGCACTGATGTGTGGCTTAGAGCACCGTTTTTTTAGAAAACAAAGCCTTTTTTTCGTTTAGAATCGTTGCTGCCATGTAGGATGTTTCCTCGAGCAGCAACAACTTTTTCTGTTTGATACCATTACTCCAGGAAATGTTTTCAGCACTAATACTCATTATCCAATACCACATCACTGCCCTGTTGGCAGCAACAAGCTGCAGCTCTAGGAAATGCCAAATTTGGCATTGCTCCAAGCCATGCCTTCTCGATTTCCAAGGCATGGTTTGGAGTACCGTTTTTCCTACATGGCGCTAATATGGCACCGTTTTCTGGAGCAACAACAACGGTTCCAAATAGACGCATAATGAACCTAAGAGCATTTCTTGATCCAATACAATTTATTACGTTAAGAAAGACAATTGAAAAAAAAAATAGGGAGAAAAAGAAAGCTTCACTTAATTATTTGTTTGTTCCCTGATGAAAATAGAGGGGTTGAAAAAATCTATTATTCCCTTCAATTTAAATTTGTGGGTTGGGCAAACCATCCAATACTTGACACGTGTTGGTTCTAATCAATGAAGAGGTTCATTAATTAAGTAGGTGCTTCGGGAGAAGATCAGATAAGGCAAGGAATAGGTTCCACAGTAGTCTTATTGTTATTTTATTTGTTTTATCCAATTACAAGTGTTAACTGTTAATTAAATAAAATTGAAAAATACAAAACATAACAAAGGGTAAAAATGGAAAGTGAAAATCAAGCTTTTAAAATAAAAAAATGATAAAGGGTAAAAATGGAAAATGAAAATTAGGCTTTTTAACAAAACATTGTCACCATCCTCATTTTTATAAATGATGAGATATAGAGATTATCCAATTAAAAGTGTTAATTGTTAATTAAATAAATTGAAAAAATAAAGAATATAATAAATGGTAAAAATGAAAAGTAAAATATTAGTCTTTTTGACGGAACATTGTCACCATCCTTATTTTTATAAATGGTATATATATATATATATATATATATTAAGAGGGAGTAAGATTGGAAATATGAAATCAGAGAATGAGTAAAATTGAAAATATAAAATCAGCATTTTAAGAGAGGATAGAATTAGAAATATGAAATCAGAGAGGGGTAGAATTGAAAATGTAAAATCAGGGTATTGGACGATGAACGCTCATCCATTTCTGTTTTTATGAATGGGTGAGATAATAATCAAATACAACCATAGGTAGTAAAGTGACCCACCCTAACGACGGGGTGATTGGTATATGGCTGATGGCTCTGGACACCATTGTCACTTATCATGAGAATGAGAAAATACTCAATATTCTACTCTGGTCCTTGTGGAGTAATTTTACCCGATGATGTCATAATACACGACAGAGATGTTCTGTGGGACGTTGTAGGGGGCAGTTTTGTGGGGGGCTGATTTGAACTCTCAATTAGCACAAAGCAAATGGGCCCCATACTGAACAGTTGTAGGTTTGTAGCAGGCTAGCGAGTTAGCGACGATGAATCTTCTCATCCTCCTTTTCAGCTTCAACTGCTCTTGTTCTTGCAGTAGTTCTGCTTCTTGTTTTGGACACAAAATGTAAGTAGAACTGCAATATTGTTGGGAAGAAACTAAGTTTATCCACAAACTATTTCTCTCCCAAAATAAAAAAACTTGTAGATATTCAACTAGCACAATTCTAAGCAAGATATCAACAAAAACAATCACAAGCCAAACAAAGAGAGACACATGATATTTAACGTGGAAAACCCCTCCAATGTGGGTAAAAACCACGGGGCCAAAGAGACCCAACCAAAAATCTCTACTAATAATTTAAGGTAACAATTACAGCAACTCAAACACCACAATATTTCACAAACTTAGAGCAAATACAGATTCTCAAATATATACACGAGAATACCAAAAGTTGTAAAAAGAACAGTAGAAAAACTCACAAACGCGGCTACTGTTCAGGACACAACATGGAGACCTCCACCGTTTAGATCGTAGGTCTGTGAGTTTCGAATAAGCCCACCAAATTTCAATCAAATCGGACCAAAAATAACCCTCGACCAGAATAATTGATGAAGATTGTCGCGAGATTTTTCTTTTCGCGACCAACTACGAATTGCTTCTGTTTGATCTCAAATAAATGGCGATTCAGATTTCCGATCAAAGATCCGACCGTTCAGAATGAGGAAAAATGAAACCTTCACTTATTATCCAAATTTCAGCTCGATCGGAGGGTGAATACAAAAGTTCCGGCCGTTTGATGAACTCTTCACACTGAGAAATTGCACATTCGATCTCTCTGTTTCTCTGCGCGCAAAAAGGTCTAACCTAGTTTTTTTTGTTTTTCTTTTTGAAAACAAAAACAGTGGGCGACGATGAATCTTCTCATCCTCCTTTCAGCTTCAACTTCTTTTGTTCTTGCAGTAGTTCTGCTTCCTGTTTTGGATACAAGATGTAAGTAGAACTGCAATATCACTTATTAACCATCTCCACTGCCACCTGAATCTTCTGTTACTTCTAAAGCTGCTAACGCTTCTGAAACGACCCATTTCTGCTTCTTGGAATTCTTGTGAAGGGTGGACTTTGAAATCATCTATAGTGGCGGATTTGGTTGTCACGAATGCGGTCATCTACACCAGTGATTCCTCTCTCCCATATGCCGAAGCCATGGCTGTTCGAAATGGAAGGATTCTCCGCGTCGGGAATTATTCATCTGTTCAGGTCAGCTTTAATTTCACTTTCACCATCATCGTGATTATAATGGTTATTTTGAATGATGGGTCCTTTTTTGGGTTCCAAATGCATTATGTTTCACGATTTAACTGCGAGTAGTTGAATGCTGGGTCCTTTTTTGTAGTTTGTCAAGGACTGTAAAGATTTTGTTGAATGTCTTATTACTTCTATGTTACTGTAGTCTGTAGTTCTTAATTTCTTATTGCATTTTTAGTTATCCCAAGTTCTGTTTGTTTTGCTTTCAGAAATCTTTTTAACATGGATGTTATTTACACTGATGCCTTCTGAAGTTTCTAATGACTTGTGAGATGTTTTTTTTTTTTTTTTCTGTAATTTCATTAAAGGGGAGAGAATTGAGATATGGATGATTTTCTGTAATTTCATTAAAGAGGAGAGAAATGAGGTGTTTTTTTTTTTTTTTTTTTCTGAAGTTTCTAATGAATCAGAGACTTATTAGTGTCTCCGGAAGAATGAGTATCAAATCAAAAAGGTGACCTCAGGTTGTCAATATGATCCATGGGTACTGAGTGCAACTGTAAAATATCACCCTCATGGTTGCGGAAAGCTCCTTGTACTCTGGAGAGCCCTGGATTCCTCAAAAAGCAACTATCAAAGTTATAACTTGACCACTCAAGGGGAAGGGGGCAGGGCAGGGTCGCTGTATAGAACCATAGGGTCTTAATGATGAGATCACTATCAACCATACCTTCACCACATTCTCAAGCAAGATATAACTAAACTTCTCTTTGGGTGAACCAAATGTGGCACCCTGATAACAACAAAGTCTATCACAGTTTCCGGAATTTTCTCTATACATGAGAGGATTCTAGAATTCCTCTCTTCCAACACCATTCATAACATTGTCACTATCAGGCATCTCCACATAATCCTCCCAGTAATGCTTTTCTTTCAAAAAAATTATAAAAAACTAATCTTGTCATCTTAGCTTCGGAGACAATCTAACTCCAAACAAGGCTATGAAATTGTCTAAAAGATCAATAGATGAGGTAAGGACGCTCTACTAGCTAGGCAAAGATAGCACTTAAGAGATGAAAGGGACCAAAGATCTAAGGTAGGTATACGGTGTTTTGGTTGCATATAAAATGAAGGAACATAAATGATTTCCATGGAAGTTTCCATTTATGGTGTGTGTTTGTACATAAAAGGCCATGGAATATAGACAGTTACCAAAAAAAAAGAGTAATAGTTGCTGATAAAAAAAGAGTTTTAATGCTGTTTTTGTTTTGGGCTCATTTGTAATCTTGTTTTTGTTTTGATGCTGCATCTCACACCTCTGTTTGGGAAGCCTCTATTGTGTATTCTCTATTGATCTTTAATAAAATTTGTATTGTTCATAAAAAATGCCCMWAATCTTCCATCAGACATTTCCTGCAAATTCTAAAACTACATCAGTCATTTTAGTTGTAAGAAAATAACATTCCTTCTGATCTTCTTTAATAGCTCCATTTATGAAAAGAGAGTTTAAGATTCTTAATTATTTATCTTTTATCCTCATGTGACTTTCACACCGAGATGTAATTTTATAATTTGCAGATCTTAACAAAGGTTTTCTTGTGACCTATTCATGTGAATTCAGGATTTAATAGGCCATGGGACTGAAGAGTTGAATCTTCGGGGGAAGGTTGTGGTTCCAGGATTTATTGATTCTCACCTACACCTTATTTGGGGAGGTTTGCAGGTATGAAGGCACCCAATCTCTATGTTGATCATGTTTCAAATATAATTGTCATGCACAGATTTGCCTTATTTTTCCTTTTTCACTTTTCTTGTACAGATTTGCCTTTTCTGACATTCTTTTGTATAACTTGCACTTCTACCAGCAGTTTCTGAAAAAATATAACAAGGATTTTTGATTGGAATCTGGCGAAAGATTGATTAAATATGTCATTAGATACCTATATATGACCTTTGTGAAACCTTAGGAGCATCTTTTTGGCATTAAAGCACTTCTACCAGCAATATTTCATGATGATCCAGTAAAAACACTTGGAGAGAGAACTTACAGTTTCCCCTAAAATTTTGTGTCAGCAGATTGTGAGAAGGATAACAGATGAAGTGGCTTAACTGAAAAGCTTATTGTTTTGTCTTTTAGGCTATGTTTGGTTTGAAGGAAAAAATAGGGAAAGGAAAGGAAAGGAAAGGTAGGGAAACCTTTACAAATCTTGTATAAGTTTTTCTGCATTTCCCTTCCTTTCCCTACTCTTTCCTTCAAACCAAACATAGTGTTAGTGAACAAGTTTTTAAGGTGGTTGCGTTCTCTGTAGAGAGGACTCACACTTTCCCCCAAAATTTTGGTTTTGGGTCAGCAGATTGTGGGAAGGATAACAGCTGAAGTGGCTGAACTGCAAAGCTTATTGCTTTGTCTTTTAGTGAGTAAGTTTTCAAGGAGGTTGTGGGCTCCTTGGTGGCTGAAGTTGAAGTTGGATAGATTATTATACCATTAAAAGTTTTATTCTGTAATTATTTTATTGACCAAAATACAAAGCAAAAAGTCATTCAGGTCAGCAATTTCAGCTGTTATCAAACATCCCCTAAGGGAGACTAAATGATAATTATAGAAATTCCTTTATATAACTATGATCTAACAGATACATAATATACACCATAATAGTATAGGGTATCTCTTGTTCCTTTCATAGCCCCCATCAAATTAAATTGGCAAGGCCAACTGGCCGACATCAATTTGTCAACCAGGAATGCATACCTTCCATTCCATGTATCATTGCTTTGATGAAAATGCATGCAAGTTGTAGATTAGAGGGCACATGGGGAAGGGTGATGAGTCGGGCAAGGCATTGGTTACAAATGAGGTGACAATCTACTTCAATGTGCTTTGTATGCATGGAATACTGGATTGAATGCAACGTGGATAGTATTTGTCTTGTTTGCATAAAGAGGCGTAGGCCATAGCTAGATAATACTGCAGAAAACAATATAACATGATATTTTGCTTCTTCTGCAGATTTAAATACAACAAGTTGCTTTTTACACTTCCAAGAGATGAAAAATATCTCATCAGGCTTTGTTTGTTTGCAATGCAAATCTGAACCTGGGTCAGTTTTGCATCTGTCTGTTTGTAATTATGATTTGCACCCTGAACCTGGGTAAAAGCAGTGCGATGAAACATTAAAACAGTGACACTGAGTTCCAGCACATCCATTTCCCATGAATACGCTCACTACCCCTTCCTATATCCCAATGCAAAAAGACCTCATAACAGTATACCATGCTGCGACTCCCTAGCGTAGTCCCTTCATACAGTTTGAACCCAGCGATTATCTTGCAGCGTGGCGCGATGCTCTGATCTCACATCACAGGATCACCATGGTCATGTGATGTGATTCATTTCTTTCCCATCACAAGCTTGTCACTCGGCCTTACACCTGCACGTTAACCTTATATCCTATGCCACATAGCCTTACCCACCACTTAAGGCATTTTTCAGAGTAACTTCTCCTGTTATGCATATGGTCAAGCTTCTAGAAGGGAAGTAGCTACACTCGTGTTCAAATGTGGGCTTTGGGAGAAGAGGGATCTTCAGTGCTGGCATAACCACATGGACATGTGGAGAAACCCCAATCCACCTACCACTTTTAGATCCAACAAACTCATGACTGCCTTCCCAAAGTGGGAAAGTTTCCCTCCTTTACTGAGGCAGCTCTATAAATAAGGGATCTCCGAGGATCCCCATACAACATTCTTTCCTAAATCCTTGTTTAAGATCTACTATTCTGAAACCTCAACCTCTTCTCACCCTTGTTCTTGGCCTCACAAAGAATGCTGCCATCGCCATCTACCATCTTTCATGCAGACATGACACCCCCGGTTGGGTTTAGTGAAACCTAGTTTTGGGTGATTGAAGAAAAGTTTATTTTTTGATCAGTGGTGATTGAAGACAAGTTCCTTGCTTGAAATAGCAAATGTAGCCTAGTAAAACCTTAATTTGATTTTAGAATAATAAAAAAAACTTAATTTGATTTTCATTTGCATCCGTTCACTCAATGGAGGAGAAGCCAAATATCCCACAGATTTCTGATTTGGACATGGGGGCCCTGTGGAGACTTTGCTAAGGGCAGTGACCATTGTGAAGTTGGATGGAACCAATTATTTATCTTTGTCTCAATCAATTAAAATACATGTATGTTGTAGAGGGAAATGTGGGTACATTACCGAGAGCAAGAAGAAATCGGTGGAGGATGATTATGCCCATGAAAGGTGGATGCAGGAAAATTACATAGTAGTGGGCTGGTTAGTGAACTCTATGCAATTACATATTAGTCAGCACTACTTGTGAAAGGAAATTGCAAAATAAGTGTGGGATAGTGTCACGGAGACCTATTCCCAAAAGCTTAATGTTGCCTGGGCCTATAAATTGAAGAATGATGTGGATAATCTAAGACAGGGGGAGAAACCCTTAGCCGTTTACTTCTCCATGCTGAAATCTCTTTGGTAGGAGATTGATTTGATGGAGGTTGTTGTTTGGGGTTGTACAAAGGATGTAGAAACACATAGGAAGTTGGTGGAGAGAAACTAGGTCTTTGAGTTCCTCACCAGACTCAACCTGGAGCATGATATTGTGAGGCAGAATGTTTTAGGTAAGTATGAGGTGATTTTGTCTTAAGCTTATTCTATGGTGTGTAGTGAGGATAATAGAAGACATGTTTAGTCTATAGAGTCACAGGTTGATCACCATGCTAATGTCAGGATGAAGCTGAAGGTCAACACTGGGAAGAAAGATGTTATCTGTGAGTACTGCAAGAAGCCTAAACACATTAAAGACACCTGTTGGAAGCTGCACCCAAAGCTCATTCCTGCTAGACTCAAGAAAGAAAACAGTGGAAAAAGGTTTGAGAATGGAAAAGGTTGAAATGCAAATGTAGCCACCTCCTCATAGAGTGAATAGGGGCAGAATGGTGAGAAGTTAGTGAGAGAGAAAGTTGCAGCTGCTAAGGCTGAGAATGAGAAGTATGGCCGAATAATCAGTCACTTGGAGTATACTGCTACAACACCTACTTCGTCAGAGGCTATTCCTTCCTCGACATATGCACACTTAGGTATTTGTGCCACTGCAAATCATGCTTCTATCTTAGGTACTCATAAAATCCCTTGGATAATTGATTATGGTGCCTCTGACCACATGACTAGTGTTTCACACTTGTTCACCTCTTACTAACTCTTTTTTGGCCGAGACAAAATATCCCTTTCTAATGGCTCTCTTGCCCATATCATAAGAAAGGGAGACATCAAGACATCACATGCCCTGATCTTATCATCTGTTCTTCACGTGCCTAAACTTAATACCAATTTTCTTTTAGATAGTAATTTAACTAAATCCTTGAATTGCAGTGTGACCTTTTGTTCTTCATATTGTGTTTTTTAGGACATGGAATCTCAGAAGGTGATTGGGAGTGGCCATGAGGCAATGGGGTATATCTGTTAGATATGCTTGAGTAGAGCCAAGTACAACCTCAGAGAACTACTTTTGTTTCAAAGTCTATTAGTTGTGTCATGTTATGCTAGTATTGTTTGGGTCATTTATCATTTTTTTCATTGAGTCAATTGTTTCCAGAATTATTTAAAGGAATATGATTGTCAAGTCTACATTGTGAGTCTTGTGAGTTCTCAAAGCATTGTAAGAACACTTATCGTGCAAGCAATAAAAGATCAACTATTCCTTTTAATATTGTTCAATTTAATGTGTGGGGGCCTTACCATTTACCTTGTATGGGTGGCTATAAATATTTCATCATGTTTTTTGATGATTTTTCATGATATATTTGGATCTACCTTATGCGCTCTCGTGTTGAAGTGCCTAAACTTGTGCAATAATTCCATAAATATATCCTCACTCAGTTTGATACCCGCATCAAAATATTTTGATCAGACAATGCTAAGGAATATTTTGAGAAGGACATTACCTTCCATCTTGAAAAGTTTGGGGTTGTTCATCAGAGTTCTTGTGTCTGTACTCCACAACAAAATGGAGTAGCAGAGAAGAAAAATAGATATATTGTGGAAGTTGCAAGTATTCTTTTTGCTATCCTTGTTCCTGTGAAATTTTGGGGTAATGCAGTTTTAATAGCCACTTATCTTATTAACCCTATGCCTTCTCGAGTCTTAGGGTTAAAGTCTCCTTTTGGTGTCTTCTTTCTTAGTGTTGAGGTCTTCTCCATTCCTCAGCATGCATGCCTTTGGTTGCACTTGCTATGTCCACATTCTCAGTTCCAAGAGACATAAGTTTGAACCCAAGGCTTGGAAGTGTATCTTCCTTGGTCATGCCTCCACACAAAATGGGTACTGCTGTTTTGATCCCATTAGTGGCTCCCGATTTGTTTCCATGGATGTCACCTTTGTAGAGTCAAATCCCTTTTATAGTCATCCTTTTGAGGGGGAGAGCCCTCCTGAGCTGTTTTCTTCGTCCCTTCCTTTGCCAGCTCCGGTTGAATCTTGTGTTGAGCCTTCTATAGTTACTCCCATTCCCGTGGAGGGTTCCTCTCCTTCTACATCTCCTATTCCTATTCCACCTCCTCCTCCTGCTAGTCATCTTGTTTTTATCACTTGTCCAATTCTCTAGAGGTGGTACCAGCGACAAAGACTAAAGCAGACACAAGTTGTTCTCACATCTCTAGTTGAGTTTCAGGAACTCCCAATCACTGAAGAGAGGACAGGTTTGATATCTTTATGACCAACACCCCCATTTCTAGACCTTGACCTTCCCATTGCTGTGAGAAAAGGTAAGCAGAAATGTACAACTCATTGTATTTCCAAACATCTTTCTTATAGCCTGATGTCCCTATCCTACTATTCCTTTCTAGACTCCATTTCTTCTCAACCCATCGTAAAGTCATTGATCGAATCCCTAGCCAAATCAGAATGGAGAGATGCTATGAGGGTTCAAATAAAAGCACTTTATAAAAATAATACCTGGGACATTGTTGATTTGCCATATGGAAGGAACCTTTTGCGTGTAAATGGGTTTATATTATCAAGTATCATGCTGATGGGTCGATTGAGAGATATTAGGCACGTCTTGTTGCTAAGGGATATACCTAGATGTATGGGATAAATTACACTGAGACTTTTTCTCCAGTTTCTAAAATGACTTTATCACTTTTATGTTAAGAATGCWTTCTTGAATGGTGATCTCACTAAAGAAGTATATATGTCTCCCCCCTTGGTATGTATGGTAAGGAGATGCAAGGCAAGGTGTGCAAATTGAAGGAGTCACTTTATTGTTTGAAGCAATCTCCATGTGCTTGGTTTGACAGATTTAGGGCTGCTCTTATTCAGTTCATAGTTTTCAAGGTGCCAAGGCGAGGCTAGGCGACTGGGGGGCGCCTAGTCACCTAGTCGCCTAGGCGATGGATTTTTTTTTTGTTAAAAAATAGATCATAGGGTAGTTCCCTAGGTACCATAACCATATTTCTTTAATAATTATTCATGGTTTTCATAAGAAAAGTATAGAAAATCAACATATTCATGAGGAGAAAAGGAAGAAGGAAAATAAAATTCAAAAAATATAGGGGCTGAACCCTTATTTTTGTTATAGGAAAAGAAGAAAATAAAAAGTATTGGTAGAAGAAGAAGAAGAAGAAGAAGAAGAAGAAGAAGTGGTAGAAGAACATATGGAAGAGGAAAATGTGCTGATTAGATAAAATTTTTAGTTCTTCCTTACTTATTGGTTCAGGTTTTTAAGTCTTTGAGGGTTCAATACAGCATTTAGCAATGTTTGTGTTGATTAAACCCTAATAAATAAGAAAATAATAAAAAGAAATTAGTATATAAACACATAAAATGATTATTTTAGTTTAATAATGTCTATTTTATAATTATAATCTCAAAAAAGAATGAACAAAAAAGTATTTTATAGTAGGAAGTAGAACAATGTTAGGCGATTGGGCGAGGTGAGCCTCAAAGGGCGCCTTGTCACCTAGGCGTCGCCTTGACAACTATGGTTCAGTTTAAATACACTTAGACTCAATCGGATCATACCCTCTTTGTTATGAGGAGAAATACTTTGGTCACATTTCTTATTATTTATGTTAATGATATTGTTGTTACTAGTAGTGATACACAAGAAATCAATGATCTCAAGAAGTTCCTTAACTTTGAATTTTTGGATCTTCTTATTGAGATTGGGAAACTTGGTGCTAAACCTGCCTCCATCTCTATTGTTGTGAATCCTAAACTCTCAGCTGGTGACAGGGAGTGTTTTAGAGATTGTTGGGGAAGCTGCTTCTTTATATTTGTATGACTTGTCTGGACATTTCATATGCTGTTAGTGTAATAAATGCATGCTCCCAGAGATACACATATGGCTGTGGCAGAAAGGGTACTATGCCTTCCCTTCATTGCATCAAAAGAGTGGTTTGCAGATTTCCTAACCAAGGGAGTTCTAAAGTTAAAGCTTCAACATTATGTAAGCAAGCTAGGCATGATTGACATCTATGCATGCTCAACTTGAAGGGGGATGTAGTGAGAATGGGCTTAATGGGCCTTAATGGTTTTATTTCTTTTAAAGTTATGTTTAAGTTTATGTTCTTTTAGTTATGGGCCTCTTTTTGTTTATTTTATTAGTTCTTTAAGTGTTGGCCTCCCTATTAAGGGCATCTAAGGAATTGTACTGAGTTTTATTTTAGAAATAAAAGACATCTTGAGGGGACTAGAGAAGGGATCAAAACATCTTCTCCTCTCTTGCTTCCTCTTCTTCTTCCACAAGCTTTTGCTAAAACCTTCCGTTCTTCTTTCTTTCTTTTTCTTTTTCTATATTTTTTGATTCACTACAGGTGTGTTTCACAATTCATAGACTGTACCCAATCGGTTACCTTCTACTCTAGCAATGGTGCTTGTATGATGGCCAATTTGGCAGCCCATAGGAACACCTTAGCAAGTTCAATGACTCTCTAGGTCCATTCGCGCTAGATGGGGACCTCAAGTTACGCGAGTTCTCCAAATCGCTTACTAGGCTGACTTACTCTTGGTTCATTAATTTGATAGCAAGTAGCATTGACACCTAGGAGAGTAGGAGGAGCTAGCAGAGAAGTTTGTCACCAAGTGGTTCACCTTGGAACGACGAGTGACGATGGTCGATCTAAGGAATACTGTGCAGAGATTTGAAGAAGAATTTCTTGATTATGTATTGCAATTTTGAAGGGCTACCTATGCCTACATGATGAGCATGTAACAGAGAGACTTGGTTGAGCAGTGCATCAAAGGGTGCAACCATAGTATTGCATGACTATTGAAAACCATGAGCTCCCCAGAACAAATGTCATGAATACTCAAGGATTATCTTTTGACGGAACCCAAGAAAGTCATTAAATATGGATTCAATTTCCTCATCCATTAACCCCCTAAGAAAGCCAAAGTCCTAATTCAGAGCCAAAGGGGTTCCCAAAGGTTAGAGAAAGTTTGAAAGAATCTTTTTCTTATACAAAGAGATAGAGAAAAGCAAAGGGAAAAGGTCCTTTAGAGGGATATCTCCAACCCAAATACCCTTCCAAAACCAGACAAAGTTTCTAGAACAAATGTCATACCCGACATACTTGAGAAATTGAGAAAGAACATTGTGGATGGTTTTCCAAGGTGTTCCCAAAGTAGCCCGCCTTGATATACCAACATCCCACCCGTTCTCTTAACTGCCATGAATACTTCCCACCACTTTCAGCTTGATATTATAAATGCTTTTCTTCATGGTGACTTCCAAGAAGAAGCATATATAGATCAATCTCCTGGATATGTTTCTCAAGGGGAGGTAGGGAAGGTATGTAAACTAAGGAAGTCTATTTATTGGTTGAAGCAATCACCATGAGTTTGGTTTGGTTGATTGAGCAGCATGGTGCAATATTATGGTCTACATCAATTTGGTGTTGACAACTCAGCTTTCAGTAGAGACACGTCTTTTGAGAAGATCATTTTGGCTGTTTATGTTGATGATATAGTTATTATAGAGTGACACAAAGGGAATTGGTGAGTTAAAACAATTTCTACAACACTTTCAAGCCAAAGATTTATGGTCTTTAAAGTATTTCTTGGGAATCGAAGTAGCAAGATCCAAATGGGAATTTCTATGTCACAGTGAAAATATTTTCTTGACTTGTTGGGTGAAACAGGGTTGTTAGGAGCCAAGCCAGTTGAGACTGTCATGGTCCTAATGTGAAGATGGATGATAGTCAAAGGGAGCCATTGACTGACCCTGGAAGACACAAGTGACTGGTGGAAAAACTAATCTATCTCACCATTACCTGATTTGACATTTCTTTCAATGTTGGAGTGTTAAGTCAGTTTATGAAGAACCCTGGGATTATTCACTTGGATGGTGCTATTAGGGTGTTGAGGTATCTCAAAGGTGCTCTAGGCCATGGGCTGTTATCTAAGAAAGGGGGAGAGTTGGTGTTGGAAGGATATTTAGGTGTAGATTGGGCAGGATCCGCATTGGATAGGAGATCTACCATAGGTAATTGCACTTTCCTAGGTAGGAATTTGATCACTTTGAAAAGTAAAAATCAAAGTGTGGTTGCCAGAAGTAGTGCTGAGGTTGAGTACAAGGCAATGGCTCTCTTCCAGGAGATTGGAGTGCCTATGTATAAGCCCATAAAGTTATTCTGTGACAATCAAGTTGCTACACGTATTGATTCCAACCCATTTTTCATGGAAGGACTAAACAGAGAGGTTGATTTCCATTTTGTAAGAGAGTGATGCACGTGGTGAGGCTATTATCCCATATGTTAGGTCAGAGGATTAGTTAGCCAATCTCTTCACCAAAATTCTTAAGCTGCTCAAGGATGGTACATTTGTAACAAGCTGGAACTTTATGATATTTATATTTATTTTCCAGCTTGAGGGGAGTGTTAGAATTATATGTGATGGAACAGTAATGTCTTTATTTTACTTGATCAGGGGAAGAGTTGTAATTTTACCAGTTCTTATATAATAACACAAGTTGGGTGGAACATAGAGGTATTATCTTTTGATGGAACCCAATTCTTTCTTCTCTTCTTCTTCTTCTTCTTCTTCTTCTCATTATTTCTGATCTCTTTTATTTTTCCTTTTGTATTTAGATTGGTTTCAGGTTGTTCTCAAGAAAGATAGACGTTGGCAAGGGACCTAGTTATCAGCTTCAGTTGGATCAAGAGATCWGCTAGTGTGTTCCCTGATGCAATGACAAAAGAGGTGGTTGGGAGAGGATATTTGTAACACAAATTGTATGACATAAGGGTTACGAAGGAAATTAAGAATAGGTGATGATGGTCAGCCTAATTTGGGGGATGCAATAGCATCTCTGTATATAGTAGCCATTCTTTTCTAATCTATGAAGTATCTATTAACAATAAAAAAAACTTAATTATAATGTTTTATTCCCTTGTCTTCATTACATATATTCAGTCACCAGTTAGACAGGATTTAATTAGAATATTAGAGATCTGCCTTTCTTTGTTAATTTATTCTACATTTTCTTTGATTTTATTTCTCATCCTGCATAATTTTTATTCTACTATTATTTGCACCTATTTCCTTTTTCTTTTGAAAAAGAGATGTGCACTGATTGGGTATAGGTTTGACTTTAATATCAGATGGCTCAAGTAGATCTCCATGGTGTGAATAAGAAAGATGAATTTATAAAAAAAATCAAAGAAGCTGTGAGAGGTAAGTTACTAAATTTCTATGATTTATTTGTCATTACTCCATGGACAACAATAAGAAGATAAATGTATTCCTGTGTGTGATGTTTTCTAGAAGAAAGTGTTTATACCTTTAAGTAGATCTTAAAAATAAAGAAAAAGGAAGTAAAAGGTTATCCGTATGGAAATTAGATAGTAGATCTTTGTTACAATTCTTGACATTCGACATCCTTAATTAAGTTTTGCTTATCTCTTGTATGTTCCTAAACATTAAATATTATCTTAGTACTTTATACCAAGTCCATGTTCATATTTTTTTTCCTATCTATTTTAGAAATTAGAATATAAGCTTGATCCAAGTCACTTTTCATTATTGTTCTATATGTGTTATTCTATATACATGGAAAAACAATCATGCTCTACTTTGCTCCATTAGAGCTGAGTAGATTGAAAATTGTAGTTGTTGTAATAGCTAATATTATAGCTACATGGGTGTTATTTTTGATTTACATTACCCTACCCAAAGCGACTTCAACCTGAACCTGACCTGATTAAATAAAGAGGAAATATTGAACCCATCCTGATCCATTCCATCTATAGTACACCTATACTCAACAAAACTATATGCATAGATATTTCAATGCCGCAATGCCAATTGGGTCAGTTTCAGCATTGGCCCACCCAACCTAATCCCTACCTGAAACCCAATCAAGATGACCTGACCCTAACCTGACAGGGTTGGGTTAGTGCGGATTTGCCATTTAATCCAACCCATTGACATCCCTATGTATGGCCCAATTATGAGGTCTGGTTTGTCTCCTACAATCCAGATTATCATGTATGATAGGACTCTTAAAGTTCAAGATGATCTCTCCTCTGCCTCAATTAAACCTTCCCAGAGGTCACTGATCATTTTGAGCATCCCTAGTATCCAGAGATTAAACAACAATTTAAAGTATGTATCATTATTGGTTTTTGGGATCCTGTAAAGATATTCCCATTGGATGCTAGGCACAATTTTGTAATTAGAATGTTCCACTCCATCTGCACTACTCATGTGYCCCTGCCTCAAAGGGTTTTAGACAAGTATTCCCAATGATTTTTAAGTCTTCTTTGGCCGCAGTCTCCACAGTCACCCATTCTTCCTAATTTTCCTGGAATACCATGGTTTCCTCCCATCTCTCGTTACACTCTGTTATGTACTTATGATTACTGCTTCTAATGGGAAGGCCATCATCATCCATCCATGATAACTCTAACAACCTGATGTGTTGTGCATGGACAATAAGTCTTTCTTCCTCTCCACTGTATTGGCTCCTGTCTCCTTTCTAGTAGCAGTTCCTGGAAAGAGCTTGAGAATGGAGACTGCCCCCATGATCATCTGCCCTCTAGAATGCATACAATCTGTTTTATGTTGGGGGCAAAAAAACTGTCAGCATAACGAATATTCTTGTTATTCTCTTTCCTTTCTATTTCAAATCTCTTCATCTCGCAGTTTGCCCTTTCTTCTATGGCTTGCTCATGTTTGTGTAACTTGAATAAATCAGAACTTCTGCTGTGTGATCTGAGAAGAGAACACAGGTTCAAAGAAGAGAGAGAGAGAGAGAAGAGAAAAGAAAGAAGGGTTCGGTGGTTGATGTCTACCGCCCGATACTCTTTATTATTTATAGCCTTTGATTCCTTACAAGAATAGGAGAGAAACACATAAAGTCTTAGTCCTAGTAAAACAAAACATAATATGGATAAACATAATAAGGCCAGCCGGCCCAATCTTAAAAGAAAATAAAAATAATTAGGAAATAAAAATAATTAGGTGTGGGAATGGAGCCATACACACTAGAGCCTGAGTGTGGGTATGGAACCCCACACTCGTGACTTAGTAATTATTTCTTCACTCCCCCTCAAGTTGGGAGTAGATATTTGTCATGCCCAACTTGTGTAAATCTGTCTCTAATTTGATTTTTGTGACTACTTTGGTGAAGAGATCAGCTAACTGCATGTCTAAGGCAATATAAGGAAGGCATACTTCTTAAGATGCAACTCGCTCTCGGATAAAATGTCTATCAACCTCGATAAGTTTAGTCCTGTCATGTTGTATTGGGTTGTGAGCAATATTAGTTGCAGCTTGATTATCACAATACAACATCAGAGGCTTCTCATAATCAATCTCCAACTCATTAAGCAAGGATTTCAACCATTACACTTCTGTAACACCATTGGCCATGAATCTGTATTTTGCTTCTGCATTGGAGCAAGCAACAACATTCTATTTCTTGCTTCTCCAGGAAACAATATTTCCCCCCACAAATGCACAATATCCAGAGTTGGACCTCCTGTCATCAACACATCCAGCCCAATCCGCATCTGTATACACTTCTAGTTTCATATGACCATTATTCTTGAAGATTATACCTCTCCTTGGACATCTCTTTAAGTAGGCAAGAATCCTTTCTATTGCAAGCAGGTGGGTGGTCCTAGGAGAATGCATGTATTGACTGACAACACTAACAACACAAGAAATATCTGGCCGAGTTAGGCAGAGGTAAAGAAGTTTCCCAACCAGCCTTTGGTACATAGCCCTGTCCTTAAGGAGTTCTCCACTTTCTGCACTTATCTTATGGTTAGACTTGTTAGCGTAGGGGTATTTCTGTCTTTATACCTAGATTAATGTTGCTGATCTATAATGTTGTGTTGGAATCAGTGCTCCTCACTTAAATAAGGGCACATATGTTATTTCAATTATTTTTAATAATATAAGTACTGTCTAGCCGACTGGGAGAAGGTTATGTTGAGACTTCCAGTTCGAACCAGATTTTCTCCCTTCTCTCTTTCTCTCTTTCTTCCACCTTTCAACTTCTTTCTACATAACCAATCTCAGACAGATAGAATTCCAAGGCAGGCCGAATCATAACATGGTATCAGAGCACCTTGAATCTGCCTAGATTTCTGTCTGCCTAGATATCTATTCTCTGCGCACCCTATCTAGGGTTTCTCTCTTTTTTTTTTTTTTT